TGAAAATAGAACAACTAACACGACTTTGTTATTGGGAGGCTTTACATTCATTAAGTTCATTAATAAACATGAGCAACGTACGGCGAGGTGGGACAATTAGAAGGCTTTGGGCCCGAGACGATAGAAAGAAAAGATTGAACGTTGGCAGAGTTGTTTTGGAAACGTTGAGTGACGGAATATCTTCCAAAAGTTGTAAAACGCAAGAAGTGTTTGCAAATTTAGGCAATACCGCCGACGCGGTAGACTACCATTTTGTTTACTTGTCTCAAAACAATAAAATGGCAGCTTTGTAGAAATGAGTGCACAAAAAATGTTGCTGCCTCCTGGACTTAATGGCACTATCGTCAGACATACAGGGTGGTGACTTGCGTAATGCATCATAGGAATTTCAATGTAAAATTCATAACATGCGATTATTGGCTCCCCAAATTATTCTAGAGCAAAAATTTATTAAGGTTTTTTGTAGAAAAAAATTTTTTACGTCAATCAACCGTATTAGTTTTCAATTTTTTGCAGAATAAAGACGGAAAATTGGAAAAATAAAACCCGCATCCTTTTCAATAATCTGTGATGCCATGGAATTTTCTAAAACAAAAAGATATCCAGTTATCAATTAGCAGCAGTTCGAAATGGATTTTATGATCGATTTGGTTACTGTCTTGCAGTTAATGGTGACTTATTCGAACATTTATTGTAAATTGTTATATTAGGAAACCGTTTTTAGTAATTTGGTCTTTCTTTATGTTGAATTCGCTGTTCTAAATATAATACTTTTTGATAGAATTTCATTTGTTTTATAGCAGACATTCCATGGCATGACGGATATTGGTGTAGTTTTTGTATTATAAAATTCCATGGCATCACAGATTATTGAAAAAGATGGGGGTTTCATTTGTCCAATTTTCCGCCTTTATTATGCAAAAAATTGAAAACTAATACGGTTCATTGACGTAAAAAAATGTTTTCTACAAAAAACCTTAATACATTTTTGCTCTAAAATAATTTGGGGAGCCAATAATCGCATGTTATGAATTTTTCATTGAAATCCCTATGATGCGTTACGCAAGTCACCACCCTGTATACTTAAATTATTTTCTCTAGAAATAAATTCTATTGAAGAAATAAGAGAGTTACAACAAGCGACAATTCGTTCTCTGAAGAATAAAACTGTTCAAGCAAGATGAAAAGAAGTGGTAGAAAAGTTATTAAATCAAAGAGATTTCAGTAGTAAAGAGCTAAAGCCATTTTTATCACTTTTTATTCGTGATAAGGTAGGGAATGTGTAGGAACTCGATATAGGACATGCACACCTGCATAGTCACCTTCCTCAGTTTAAAACATATTCGATTTTTTTAAAAATAATTGAATCAGAATTTTGTTAATAAAAATTTACGAAAGAACTTCAACTGAATTTATTACTCATCTTTCTCTCTAAAACACAGTTAGTGGTTTCTACATAATATTTTCATAAGTTTAAATTGTTTATGTTCAATTTAACGTAATAGCAAAGAGTAACTAATAATCTTTGGTAATAGGTAATTTCTTTTCCTCGTCACCAGCATGTAATATATGTAGAAAAATTATAAAATCATTCACTTATTCAATACCTAGCTATAATGATTGGAAAAAGTTGCCAAATTACTCGATCGTTTTGAACTTTACGCTAAGCTTTCCGTTTTGAAGGATATTGGATGTGAAACAGGGCGCGAAATGAAATACTGGTACCTCTCTTCATAAAACTGGGAAAAGAACCAGATGCTTAATAATATATGCCGAAAGCCGAATAAACTGCTTGTGATCCATTCTAATTTCATTGCATGACATGAATTATTAACGATCACCTAGCGGTTTCTGTCCGTCTGCCCGTTAGCACGATATCACTAAAACGAATTGGAAATGTAGCCCAATAAATAAGGAAGGTTTGTGATATTTCCGTTAGTTATAAACCGAATTGCATGGAATTCAATATGGGCATAGCTCTAGCCATATACTACGTAATGTCAAAAATTCAGTCTAATCGAATCAACATTAACAGTGCCCTTTTCGCATCTCGACCATTATTATGAAAGTATTTAAATGTAATTTTATACATATAGTTTCTATTTGTGACACTGATTACTTATTTTGGAATAGCGATAAGATAAAGTAGAAAATAGATCCCAAATTAGCACTAGAGATAATTTGGTCACGCTGTTGGTGAATCCATATCTTGTTTTTATGGCGGATTGCCAATTGAATTAATGGCTTATTTACCTTACTTCCAGATAAAATGAAGATACCAAGTCAATCATTTTATTGCGCACTTAAGCCCGTTTTACATGCTGAAAGTTACTTAATAAAAGTTGAAAGTGAAGTAAGGATCATGGCTGGGCAAATAAAAACTTATTTGAATAGCGAAAACATTTTACCATCTTTACAGTCGGGATTTAGGGCAAATCATAGTTGCACGACAGCTCTCTTACAAGTTACAGATTCAATTTTTTCCGCTATTGATAGTAAAAATATCTTAGTTCTCGTTTTGTTGGATTACTCCAGAGCCTTTGACAGAATTAATCACGATATACTTTTCGCAATTCTAAATTATAGTGGTTTTGGTAGTTCAGCAGCTAAATTTATCTCAAGTTACATTAGCAATAGATCTCAACGTGTAGTTTTTAATAAATGTGTGTCCAAATCTATAGCAGTACGTACAGGTGTCCCTCAAGGACCCCTATTATATATTTTATACTCTTCAAATTTTCATAAATGTCTAAAGCACTGTACATATCACATGTATGCTGATGATACGCAACTCTTATATAAAACATCTGATGCATGCCTAGATATGGACACCGTGAATATGCATCTCAGCGTTGATTTATCTAACATTCTGCAAACCTCTGAAAAGCATGGACTACAGCTCAATTGTAGAAAATCAGCTGTTATGTTATTCGGTAGATCGTTAATTGTTGACAAGTACAAGCATGCATTAATGGTTAGGTTAAAAGATACGGTATTACCAATCGTTTATGAGTATAAAAACCTTGGTTGTTAGACTCTAAGCTACGCTTCAAAAGACACATTGATCTAGTTGTAAACAAAGCTTTTATTAATCTTAAGATTATATTTAATAGTAGGTTCATTATCAATCCTAACATTAAGATAATGTTATGTGAAGCATTGGTACTGTCGCAATTTAACTACTGTGACTGTGTGTATGGTCCATGTATTGACCAAAGAGATTCCTTGAGAATTCAAAAGATGCAGAACTCTTGCCTTCGCCTAATATTTGGAATACGTAAATACGACCGAGTGACACATAAGCTAACGAACTTGAATTGGCTAAACATGAGTAATAGGAGATTGTTGCATTCCGCTTGTTTGTTCCATACCATACTGCAAACCAGAACACCTACATATTTATTTGAAAAAGTAATCTTTAGGAGCTCCGTTCACGATTTAAATATTAGAGATAAGCTTTCAATAACGATACTCCACCATAAAACGACACTTTTTAAACGTTCCTTCAGTTATAATATAGCCAACCTCTACAATAAATTGCCAATTGATTTAAAACAATTATCTTCTTATGCATTCAAAAAGAAATTGTACCTCATACTCCTTGAAAGACAGAAACATGCTTAGCAACACCATTCTTTCTTTACTTTTTTATAAATTTTTGTACTTTAGCTGTAGATAGCAGTCTGCGCTTTTGCTTTTCACTCTTAGTTATAGTTATCTCTTTCTCTCTCTCATTACCGGGTCTTTAATAACAGCTGTTCTTGTCACTGTAATTAATACATATTGTTGAAGGGTTGAGTGGTAGAGCAGACGGGGGTATCTTGGTAGCTCCAGTCTGAACTCCGCCCTATTGAGTTATTCTTTTTTTTTTATAAATGGGTTAAAATATTGTCTTACTTAATTAAAACTCAATAAATGTTATGGTCGGTGTTTCTTGTGAGAACTCAGGTCTAGCCTGGTTAACTAATCGCACGGATTAAAATCAAGTAACGATTAGTGTCTGTGTCTGTGTCTGGTGAAGTTATGTAGGGTTCTAAAGAAAAATAAAAATTAAAAAAATAAAATAAATATTCGCACACTCACATTGGAAATCTAGGGATAGTATGTAATTCATACTTACTAACATAGCTATTAATGGCCACAATAGTCAACGCTATCAGGAAAGAAGAAAACAAAACAAAAATATCATTATAATAATTCCTGTAATTTTATTAGATAGAGTTTATTGTGTAAGTGTTTCTTTGGCTTTGCGTTTGGGTTGTATACGAGTGGGTTGTGATAACGTGGTGTGTTTATGTGAAGAAGGAGTTTTGTGTTTTTTAACTGTGCTAGGACGTGTAACTTTATTGGGTGGACCCGTCTTTGTAGTGCAAGTTGCGTTACTTGTATTTATGGTGTTTCTTTGTTCTTGAGGTTGTATTTGTGTGGTTGCTTGGGTTATTGATGGAGATATTACAGTATTTTGTGAGCTAGTGGTGCTGTTTAGGTTTTTGTTATTATTATTATTATCGGTGTTTCTTGTGAGAACTCAGGTCTAGCCTGGTTAACTAATCGCACGGATTAAATCAAGTAAGTATAATTATTATTATTATTATTATTATAAGTAACTTTCCGGAAATTTCTGAAGTCCCAGATGTGCTTTATATCTCCTTCCATAGTATAAGTTTTACATGCTGCAAATGTATTTCACTTTCACCAAATACCAATTTTTAAAAAATGGGTGAGAAGGACGCCTTTCATAACTTACATAATTAGTTAACTTCAGCACCGACAACAAGAAAATTTTTCGCTCAGTAATCTTCCTTTACCTTCGCCAACACGAATGACCACAAAACATAACATTAATTTTCAATCTCCATTCTTTAGAGTTGGCCTTACCACAGTTCTTTACGCATATCTGTGACCATACCTTACAATTCCAGTTGAAAGTGAAATAACCAAAACTTTGAAAACATGTAAAACGCGCTTTAGGTAACAATGCAATCTAATCTAATTGTCCTACTCACCAACAGGTATAAATAGACACGGCCTGCGTCCTATTATCTGTATTTATTTTTTGTTGATATACCCACAATAAACGTGATGTCCTTTAATATTTTGTTAGCGACCGTTACACTATTCTTATGGAGCTTTTCTTCATCAGAGGGTAAGTCCGTTTGGTTTTAGGCAGTTCATTGGAAATTTTCATTTACTCGTAGCCCTAACATGTAGAAATTGCGATGACAGTTCAGCTGCTTGTCGAAGTGGAAGTGTTACTAACGAAAAACCCTGTACGACGAATGGAAGGTATGAAATGTTCTGCGTCTCCTTGGAAAAGCCAAACCGTAAGTAACCCGGATGATATGTTCATAATACTCTTTAAAATTATTTAGGTGTCATTTTAAGAGGGTGTGGTGCTAAACATGGGTCGAGTACGGTGTGCCAGCAGTTAATACAAAAGAATTCATCATACACAAATTGCAAAGAATGTTCATCACCAAATATGTGTAATTCATTCAATCACGGAAGCTAGAAGTATTCATACTTATTGTGATGTGATTAGCATTTCTGTATTTTGAGCTAATATCAGCTAAATAAACGTGGTTTTGAGAATTGTTTATTGATTTACTTAGTTAATACATTGAGAAGGGGCAATCTCATTCGTACATAGCATTGAATGAGTTACTTATTCAATATGTTAATCGGTGTTGGCACTTGGCAATGTTTTGATCCAGCAGCTGGCCAAAAAATTAATATCCAATGATAAATGTAAGGGTTTGAGAACATCTATAAGATGCGACAGAGTCGAACCAATGCTTTACACAAATTCAATAAAAAAAACGCAAAGAAAGCGACTCAACATTAGTGACGACCGTGACAGGACGCCAGACTAAAGATCGCGTGTCGAAAACTCATCCTTTGATCCCGAGATGAACATTATCGCAAGATGGAATTGCTCGATAAGCACTAGACTGAACTTCAGAGGTTGACGCAAAAACAAAAGAATGCTCTTCAAATCAAGGCGACTTGACAAATGCTCCAGCAAAAGTTTGAGGCATTCAAGAAATTAGAAGAGTTACTGGGCAACCTGATTCCATCGTCGGTACAAGAAATAACGAGCACCCCGATTCATTAGCGTTTATCCAACTTTATAGTATTTCTACTTCATATACAGGGTGTAGCATCTAAGATCTCTCGGATCATAATCAATTCACTAAATGTCATATTTTTTAAACAGTTCAAATGGCACCCCCCTAAACAAATTACACCTCTGGGTAGGCAACACTATAAATGTTCCACTTATATAAACAAAACCACACATTACATAAAACAATTTCAGAGAAAAACCAAGTCGAAACGCCAATTTGTAAAGAAAACGTTCTTTTCTGAACCCAAGTGTGCCAAGATGAAACAAAAGATGATCAATTCTCACAATTAACAGTACAGTATTGGCAGTGTATGCCTGTTTTTTAACCAGCGTTGCGAAAATATTTCAAACTCAAGCAGAACTGGTTGATATGGTGTTTACTCTTGGAGAGTGCCACCGGAACTGTTGGTTGGCGTCACAAGAGTACGGTGGGAGACACCCTGGCAGAACACATCCAGATCCACACGCGTTTCAACTACTGGGAGTACTAATTTCACGCACACTAATATGACGATTGTCAACAGCTGCCCCGAGAACTCTACTTGTTCATTTTACACTCTCAGTAGCTGTAAATCTTTCACTTTTTGAAACACGCGTGGATCTGAATGTGTTCTGCCAGGATATCTGCCAGCATGCACTCGTGACTCCAGCAAACAATTCCGGTAACAGTCTCTAAGAATAAACACTATATCAACCATTTCTGCTTGAGTTTGGAACATTTTTTCAACGTTGATTAAAAAACAATTGCCGACACTTTACTGTTAATTGTGACAATTGAACCTCTTTTGGTTCATCATGGCCCACTTGGATTAAGAAAATAAGGTTTTTTACAAATTGGCGTTTCGACTTGGTTTTTCTCTGAAATTTTCTTATGGAATGTGTGGTTTTCTTTGTATCAATGGAAAATTTGTAGTTTTGGCTACCAAGAGGTATAATTTGTTTAAGGGGGTGGCATTTGAAATTTTTAAAAAGTATGACGTTTGGCGAAAGTCAATCAAAAATTTAATTTTTGTGATAATGTACCTACAAAAAATTATGTGACAGTGCCTCAATTCAAAAATTAACCGCCTGCGCGATTTAGTTTCTCTAAAAAAAATTCCGAAAAACTATCAAGTTTTGACGAAAAAAGGTCGTTGAAGTTAGGGGTATAACACGTTACATAAAAAATAATTTTTCTTAAAAATCGAATTATCTTTAAAACTACTAGCTTTTCGGATATTAACCATATAATAAAAAAGACGTACTATTACACGTATAATTCAAACATGCATTCAAATACAGGGGGTTCTATTTAAAAAAAATGTACCATTTTGGTGCACCCTGCATAATTCCAAATATTTTAAAATGTGGAGAATATTCAACCATATCATAATACAAAAGCACTCTATCAAAAAATCTTATCTTCAAGGCATTAAGTTAATCCGCGCAAACGTCCACTCACCCTGTACACGTTAAATATATGTACTTTTAAGAGGCACACTCTGTGTACTTTAAATATTTGAAAGTATTGTGAGTGTAGGTACTTAAATTTGATTTCTCGTTCTTTGCATAATCACACTGTGCACATTTTAAATCGTGTTTTTTTTAAATATTTCAATAGTTATTCCGTTATTCTACTGTTGGGGTCGGAGACGAATCCAACAAATCAAAAATCATGGAAATCAGTCTAGCCGTTCTTGAGTTCTAAGTGGTAAACATGATACATAAAAATTTTAAAATTGACCGGGGGGGGGGGTAAATGTGAACCCCTCAACTGTATCCCTATGTGATTGCGACAAAGCAAAGTTTAGAAAGAAAAACTACCTTCGAAATCCACTACAAAAAGGAAAACGCTCTCGATGTACAGTGTACAGACAGACGGACAGATTGACAGGCCAAAGACAGTTGATGTTACCACGTTACATGTAAATTATATTACATGGTTTTGTTTATTACAACTAATTAATTAAAAATTTGTAACAGTCTTAAAGTAGATTAATTTATAACAGTAATTATTCCTTATCACTTACAATTTATGTAAACTCAAACGCATCGAAGTGGGAACTGAACTGAATAATAATACGATTTGCTTATATAGCAAAACCCCCTCTTTCTCGATAGTTATCGAACGCTTCCGGACACTTCCGAGCTCATCATTTATAATCGGTCTCTACTAACATCTACACACATAAGAATAAGTATAGTAAGTTTAAAGTTAGCAGCAGAATAGAAATCAATATAGGTATGGTATTGGAAGTCAATGGTAAAAACGCCAAAAGCTATTAAACCCTAAGCGCGAAATATTAAACAATGAAACAAAATTTAAATCTCTTCCACACATTTGTTTTTCAAGGTTATAGAAGTAGGTACACATAGCCCTAGACACACACCGGGAATTTTCTCGCTGAAAATAACGTATATGTGTAATCTTAGTGTACAAATGATTAATATCATAGTGGCACACTTTAAATCCAGAGAGCGTCGGACAAAACCCTGGTAGAATCCAAAACAATTCGTGCTTTTTCGATCAGACTTCTCAATCAAAAGTTATAGACTAGAAACCAATTTCGAAAGAAAATTCAAAGGGCCGTAACTTTTGAACTAGTAGCCCAATCTTGGAACTGTTTGAAATTATGGATTCTACAGGCCACATTCTATAAGAAAATTTTTTTCCGGGTCGATCTGAGATAATTTTTTTTCGTGCCAAAAAAAAGGCATAGTATAACCTTCCTTTTTTACCAAAAATCGACTACACTTTCTATTACAAAAGTATCGGTCAGTCGAATTTCGAACACTTGTCACACCAGTAGTCGTGGCACGATTACTTTCAAAAAGAGCTCTTTTTGACAATTGCAAGATATTGTGTAATTACCAGCACTTTTGCAACCATTTTAATGAAACAAACAAAAAATTGATCCTTCGAGCCGGATTTGAACCAGCGACCTATGGATTACCATCAGAAATTGCATCTACCTACAGTCCACCGCTCTACCAACTGAGCTATCGAAGGTGATAATGACAACGTCAATCAGTGATAATCACAACAGTGAAATGAACAAAGATAAGGAAATGTAAAAAAATACTCCTTCGAGCCGGATTTGAACCAGCGACCTATGGATTACCGTCTGAAATTGCATCTACAGTCCACCGCTCTACCAACTGAGCTATCGAAGGTGATAATGACAACGTCAATCAGTGATAATCACAACAGTGAAATGAACAAAGATAAGGAAATGTAAAAAAATACTCCTTCGAGCCGGATTTGAACCAGCGACCTATGGATTACCGTCTGAAATTGCATCTACAGTCCACCGCTCTACCAACTGAGCTATCGAAGGTACAGATACCCAGAAAATTGGTCCCGCTCAATCTCGACACGATGTTTAATTCAGAAAATGAACCTGCACTTTACTTATTCATAAAACATGTCCGTACATCGGCAAGACCCTTTGGGCACACCCTCTTGTGTAAACATTGATTAAATCAAGTAGTCTTGCGTAATCAAGCTAATGGGCTCGCAATCTAATCAAATTTCTCATTTCGAAACCAGTTTGGTGTATAAACAATATTAATACTTACAAATTGAGCTATAAAACAGAGGAGCAGGATGTCTTCATTACTTTTTTTTTAATAGACGCGTTTAATTAATCTGTAAACAGGTGTAATTTAATTTGCATGAAGAAACCATTCTGATTGTGGGTTTATTACGACCCACATTTATATTTCCAGTCCAGATGTATGCAACCGTGTTTAATATTAATACGCGCAGGTATAACAAAAGAAACGCGGACGCCTTGTCTTTGTAGAGAAAATGCAAATGACAGGGCACGATGGCCGCGATACATGTAAATTAGATTAATAGGAAGCTAGCAAAACTTGAAAAGTATGGAAGCCTTTCCGGTCCGTGGCACACAATCATCACCTGACACGACGTCTGACAACTAAATTACATGGGCAGAAGCAATTCTTTGATTGATACTTTTTTTTATAATTCCATCGCGTGGGTGTATAAATTAGAACCATAAAAACGGTCCAGCTGTGGATATCACATTCGAAACGGATTAATGTGGTGTTAACACGTCTTTATATAACACCCGCCTGCCTCGAAATCGTACCCCCCTTTAAGTCGATCGGGGCATCCCAACGTTTCTACCTTTACCAAAACGAAAACCGCACAAGCTCGCTCGTTTGGTACCGTTTTGGTACCGCTGTTAATAAAATGATTGAGATGTCAATTTCACGGGGTGCTTTATACTCTGTATTCAAAACACTTATAGTCGCCGTTTTTTGATGCGCAACGGACGCACTAACAATTCAATTTTATGTGATAAATGTTTTCACCATTTTTTAAATGGTATAAATTTAACTCGAATGTGCCAAGTACGTAATTGGATTCTCGATATGGAGACATTGCTAAAGATAAATCGTCTACCGCATGCAATTTTTCTGTGCAAGTAGCGCGGACATTTATTGTCCAAATTGTAAA